AACTGTGTAAATATTTAGGCAGTTTTGAAATAGTTTTCAGAGCTGGTCCAGGTTTGGTCTAGAAGGAAAGGCGCCTATGAAGCTGTGCATTCCAACTATCGGTGTATTGGTTTTTGTTCTATCAGTTAAAAATTTGAGCCACACATTTTTCTCACTTCTGCAATAGAAAAGAATGACTCTCGGTTGTTGTAACTCTGTGTCTAGGATGTTAGTTATTTGTAGTAAAATCCCTTGGGGAAAATATGCATTGTTCATGCACTGCAGCACATTTTTAATCTGTAATCTCTTGACAGTTTTAAATGTCCATATAACGGCGTGGCTCCTTGCCAGACCGCGTGTTAGAAGAGTACAAAAGTTGTATAAAAAGCATTGGTCCATAGATACACTTTCTGCCTATAGACATTTAAAATCAGCCACATGTAAATTGTTAGATCTGTCTCTTCATAAAAACTCCTGCTAAACCTTGGTGGGTCAAATTATTTCCAACAGCAAGATGGTTTGCAAGCTCAGAAATGAATGGGCCTCTGATGGTCTACATGTGCATGGGATTACAAATGAGGATCAGTTAGAGGCCTTTAATGCAGCATTGGAGAGATCAGTGCTAGAATACTTTGTCCGGTTCTGGTGTCCACGCTTGGAAAAGGATGTTGATAAATTGGAGAGGGCTGAGGGAAGAGCTGCAGTACTGACTCGAAGATTTTTTTGATCTGAGGAAGTGGGTCTGGCCCACGAAAGCTCATCATCTAATAAACCATCTTGTTAGTCTTTAAAGTGCTACATAGTCCTGTATTTTGACTCGAAGTCTGGAGAGCCTGCCTTACAGAGAGACTCCTCCGGAGCACAGTCGGCTTAGCTGATCAAAGCAAAGGTTGTTACGGGACTGGAACCCAGGCTGTAACATCTCTGCAAAGAGGACGGGTGTGGTGTCTCCCACACGTCACGGGAGCCAGTAGCTGGAAGTTGAGGGTAAGCAAATTAAAACGGAAAGTAATTGAACAGCCAAGGTAGTGAACTGTCAGCGCAGCTTCCCAAAGGATGTGGTAGATCTTCCATCGCCTGGAGTCTTATGTGCATGTGTATGCAAAGGGAATTGCTCACATTTAACATTATCCATCCCATACACCAAATAATAGACCCCTCCAATTCCTGGGGTCTGGCTGGCAAAACTCAGCCTGGGTTGGAGTTTTCCTCCTGTTTGACAGGGCCTGAATTCACTTAGAGCCCAGTGGTCTGCACTGAGATCCCTTTGGCACTCCCCAGGGGATTGTGGGACATTCACACCTTTCCTCTCCTGTTGAGTTGAGCCAGGGAGAGGTGGATGGGGAATTGAGAGAGACAAGGGCTGGCTGACAGCAGGTGATAGTCTGGCACCCTGACCTCCCCTTTCTGTATCACTCCATGGCCCCAGGCACAAGTTTTGCTCCACATCCTAGGTTTGCCAGCTCAGCGTATGACATTGCATACCCAGTCCCAGTGCTTTGTCTGTGTGACTCCCATTGTCTCTGTAAAGTTGGTGCTTACAGCTTGAACAGTCTCCCTGCTAAGAGACATGTGCATCTACAACTGCTACACGGCCGGTAGGCGCGTGTGAGCCATCCTTTCAAGAATCAAAGCCGGCTGCTGCCTTTTGCACGGCATCTCATCTGTAGCATCAGTGCTAGACGCCTCACAGCATGTTTGCTGGTTGCAGGTGGTCTGTCTTTCCCAACTGGAGGCCGGTGCGTGAACTGTGACCGTGGCGCGTTCAGGCCACTTGGACAGATCACCCTGTGATGGTTAGAGTTTGGGACTGGGAGCCAGCTCTTCTGAGCGTTATTCCTGGCTCTCCTGTTGAGACACTGGAAGCAAGATATTTAACCCCTCTTTGTATCTCATTGGCCCCCCGCTGTAAAAGAGGGATGATGATGTTTCTGAGTTTGAAGCTTCTGAGGCTGGAGTGGTGTTTGTAAAACCCTCGGATCAAAGGCGCTGTAATACTGCGTTGTTAGATGGTATTATTCATGCGAGGAAAAGGGAAAGACAAACGGAAGCTGTAGTTGGGTTCCTGTCCCTCTCGGAGAGGACGAGACACAACCATAATTCAAAACACTGGAGCATATCCTAGGCAGTCGTCTGATTAGATAGATGCACTGGCTAACCTTTGCCACCCCGACGTCTGTGATTCTAGGGAACTGTCACCACAACCAGAGTCGTTGTTAAAGGTGGTTTCTGCAAACAGGGCTTGTGAAATCAAGAGACTGTTCCCCTACAGATTGTGGCCTCTCCTGGTTACCCCATGTTGTATTTGGAACCGAGGGTATCCCTGCACTGCATGTAGGGTGTAACGATATAGGCTTTATACTTAAAATATAGTACAGGTTGGGCCTCCTTGGTCCAGCACCCTCGGGACCTGACCAGTGCTGGATGAGGGATTTTTGCCAGACCAGGGAAGGTCATTTCTTCCTCCGCAGCCATGGCCTTGCTGCCAGCCTCCCACTGGCTTGCCCCTGCCACTGGCCCCTCCACATGCAGGGCTCCTGGCCCCGCCGCCGGCACGCACAACCCCAGTGCTGGGCTCCTGGCCCCGTGGGGCAGCCCCCCTGCAGGTGTCCAGCTGCTCTGCAGGGCGATACCCCGCTTGGGCTTCAGCCTTGCTCGGCAGCCCCACTGCCTCCCAGCCTCACGGGGCAGGTCTGCCAGGCGGTTCTGGGCAACAGCCACACCCCCGGGTTCCTGGCCCTGCCACCAGGCAGCCGGCTCCACAGGGCTCCAGCCCTGCCTTCTAGTCCTGCCGCTGGGCGATAGCGAGGCTGCCGGGCTCCCGGCTGTGCTGCTGGTTGGTCCAGCCCCACTGCCTCCCGGTCTCGCCAGGCAGTTTCGCTGCTGGGCTCCAGCCTTGTTGCCTCCTGCCCCTCCACACCCACTCTCCACATTGTTGGCACCAGGCTGCAACCCTACTGCTGGGCTCCCGTTTCTCTGCCACCGGGCAGCCCTGCTACTGCTGGGCTCTAGCCCCTTAGCAGGGCTCCCAGCGACCAGCCCGCCACCTGGACTCTCTGGTCCTGGGACTTCCCTGCCGGACCAGGGATGTTGCTGGACCAGAGAGTCCTAGTTAAGAAAGGTTCAGCTGTACTAATACAAGCCTGCCAGGGACCCTCGATACATAGTTCGGCACCCCTGGCTCAGGCTCGTGGGGCTTGGGCTAAGGGGCTGTAAAACAGCTGTGCAGACATTTGGGTTTGGGGCTGGAACATGGGCGCTCAGCCTCTGGGACCCAGTAAGCTGGGAGGGTCCTAGAGCTTGCCTGAACATCTGCCCCAGTGAAACACCCTCCTCTCCCAAGCCAGGATCAGCTGGCACTGACCAGCATTTATTGGCAGATTCCAAAACCCTCCTCTCCCTGAAATACACAAGACTCTTCAGAGGGAGTACATGAGCTGCATGTATCCCGCTGTAAGCAGCCCTTGTCTGGGGACCGCATTGCTGTGGAAGGGAACAAAGTACAGCTCCTTACGTAGCATCAGCTGCATGCCGGTGTGTCATGCCTAGGCAGTCAAGAGCCTTGCGAAGGGATCCCGATCAAACCAGAAACATTCAGGGGGCATCGACTGTTTTATTCCTTTCCTTTCCCATGGATTTCTCTCTCCTTTTAAAATTCCCAAAGAAGTGAAAGTTCTGCAAAATGCTAAACACCTTCTGCTCTTTAGGTTCAGTACAGATTTGCTTGAACTTTTTAGCACCTTTCTGCTTCATAATGTTTTGGTTTTAGTGCCTCTCTTCAAGCAAGCTAGTTTATGTGCATTTTTTAACACTGAAAACTATTTGAAAAGGTGCTTGGCTGTTCTTGTCAAAACTCCCACAGCGAGGCAGGCTCTGCGGTAGGGGGAAGGGAGAAAAGAGCAGAAAGTACTTTTTGTTTTTAAAGAAAAGATGCAAAATAAATGCAGCTGCAACTAAAGCGTCCAGTTACTATTGTGTTAGATGGCAGCAAAACCAAATCCAGTGGTCGGCACCTTGTAGCAGTCTGTTCGCTGCCCAGATGTTCGCCGTGACTGCCTGCTTTCATTTGCGCCCCGTGGCTGGGATGTTTGATGCCTCTGATAGACAGGCATGTGACACCCACTCCTGGATTGCGACTGCGCCAGCGTTTGATTTGCACAAGGAACAGATGGGGCTGTGCCGTCACCGGCGGGCCGAGTGACAGCTCGAGCGAAGGGAGAGCTCATTGACACGCTATCAAATTCCACTCGCTCACTCGGTAACACACTCGGGCTGGCAGGTGAGTGACTAAGCTGCACTCTTACCACCTGGAACTCCAAGCTACAGGGTTTGTTTCACTGGATTTGAATTCCCTCTTTCATATGCCACTTAAGGGCCGCTTAATTGTGTGTGCACGTCCACAAGGCAGTCGGCCTGAATACGAGGGAGCATGGGGCATTTCCACCTCTGCCACCACAGGGCTCGAAGCAGCCCTGGGCGCTCAGCTGGCTGGGTCTTGCTTGCACCGTCAGGGCCAAGTGTGCCCCAAGAAGGGATTTTTGTCCCAGGTTGGCAGGGATCTTAGGGGGGTTTGCACTTCTTGGTAGCACGGGGTGCAGGTGACTTACTGGGATTACCTGGGTCCATCTCAGTTTTTGAGCTGCCGTGGTGGGTCCCTTACGGTCTTATGCTGCAGGCAGGGCTTGCAAGGGGAAGGCTGTGTGCTTTATTAGTCAATTGGCTACCCTGCCTGCCCCTCTGAGGATGATGTGGGGATGCTCCTTCACCCCAGGTTTAAAAGACAGAGCTTTTTTACTCCACTGCCCAGCCCGCCCTCTCCTGCTTCGCTTGTTTGTGTCTCTGGCTGTAAAATCTCGGAAGGCTCCAGCAGCAGCCAGGCCCCCAAAGCAGCGGTGTGAACTTTGCACGCCGCCTCCTGTATGTTAATCGATAAGAGAGTGAGTGTCTCCTGAATTCTGGCTGCGTTCTTGGCTCTGAAGGCATTGTAACGCGTGTGTCTCTGTTTCTCTCTCCCTGAACAGCAAGGTTGGATTGTACAGCCAGCAGCCCCAGCTACGCTTCCCCCAGCTGTCTGAACAGATCCGCGACCAGCCGATACATTGCAAGGTCTGTACTCCCAAGACCCCCTTTTGCAGGGTGCCAATGATGTATGCCCAGGAAGGCGCAAGCACCCTGGGATCCAGCTAGTTAGTTCATGGGACTGCAGCTGACTACACTGCCGGTTTTCTCCTGCTGCCTGCTATGAGGTTGCGATAAAGGGTTCTAGTCTGGAAGCTCGTGGTAGTGTCCTGTGGTGAGACCTGTCTCCCATCCTTGGGCACAGGAAGCAAAATGACACTGCCACCCCCTCCAAATAAACAGACTTTCCTCTAGGTCCAGGGTGAGTCTGCTCATGGGCCAGCTGTGTCTGCGTCCTGAATATTTCAGTCATCTTTGCAGCACTTGAAAGACTAACAAGATAGTTTATTAGGTGATGAGCTTTCGTGGGCCAGACCCACTTCCTCAGATCAAATTGTGGAAGAAAATTTCCACATGCCAATTTTCTTCCACAATTTGATCTGAGGAAGTGGGTCTGGCCCACGAAAGCTCATCACCTAATAAACTATCTTGTTAGTCTTTCAAGTGCTGCATAGTCCTGTCTTTTGTTTCAGTCATCTTTGTCCTTGATGACTATTGAATGCAGCAGTTTGCTGTTGCATTGTAAATGTCTACGCTTGCCCCTTTCCCGCCCAGCTTCCTGATGAAGGACTTGGGGAACTCTCTCTTTGCCTGATTTTCCCAAGCCATGTCGCATATGGTGCTGGAACCTGTTGGTCAGTTCACCATACATGTGCTGTTGCTGCCAGTGAACGGCAGATCGTTTGCCTTGGCAGTCAGACAGCAAAGCGTAAAGGGAAGGAGATTGTCTAGCCTAGTGTTTCTCAATTTTTTTTAGAAAGCATCCCCCTTAAAATTAAATAAATAAATAAATAAGTATATAAATTACCCTCAGTACCTACAGTTTTCAGACAGAACACATTTTTTCCCTACCACTGCAACACATTTGTTTAAACAACTTAATCGTAGCCAGGCGGGCGATGACATTGTTGGGTGTAAAAACTACAAAACTAATAAAGCACTGTAAAATTTAAAACAAACATTCAATTTTCTCCAAATTTCACTTGTGTCGATGTACCCCCCTGACTTCTCCCGCGTACCCCTAAGGCCGTGGTCACCAAGCAGTAGATTGGGATCTACTGGTAGATCTTGGAACTTTTGACAGGTGATCTCACAGGTTTGGCCAGGAGGCTGTCAAGTGCTGGCACTTCATCTGCCCCTTTCAGCACTGATGTGCTGCTCCTGCCCTCTGCCTTGGAGGTGCCCCTCACCCCGGGAGCCTCCTGCTTGCTGTTCAGGGCACGGGAATAAGAAGAAAGGGGGGTGCTGATGTCAGGGTGCTCCTCCCTCTCCCTTGTACTCCATCTCCACAGAGCAGGGTGAGGGCAGAGATGAAGAGATTTTGCTGGCTGCTTTTGGGAGTGGTGCTGGGCTAGGGTAGGGGTGAGTTTGCCTTACTCCCCTGCATCACCACCACTCAGAAGTCATCCGTGGTAAGTGGTGTCCAGCTGGAGCCAGCTCCGAACCTTGGCCCCAGTCCTGAACCAAACCCCTGCCCCCAGCCTGATAAAAGTGAGTGAGGCGGGGGAGGGAGGATGGAGTGAGCAGGGGCAGGGCCTTGGAGAAGGGGCAGGAAGGAGGCGGGGCCAAGGGTGTTTGGGTTTGAGGTAGATCCTGGATTGCACTTCAATTCAAAGAGTGATCTCGTGCATAAAAATGTTGGAGACCCTGCCCCAAGGGTACCCCGTGCCACTGGTTGAGAGACACTGGTCTAGCCACATGATGCCCTGATGATCCTGGCTGTGCCTGTCCTTCCCTTTGTTGTGGGCTAGGGTAGGGGTGAGTTTGCCTTACTCCCCTGCATCACCACCACTCAGAAGTCATCCGTGGTAAGTGGTGTCCAGCTGGAGCCAGCTCCGAACCTTGGCCCCAGTCCTGAACCAAACCCCTGCCCCCAGCCTGATAAAAGTGAGTGAGGCGGGGGAGGGAGGATGGAGTGAGCAGGGGCAGGGCCTTGGAGAAGGGGCAGGAAGGAGGCGGGGCCAAGGGTGTTTGGGTTTGAGGTAGATCCTGGATTGCACTTCAATTCAAAGAGTGATCTCGTGCATAAAAATGTTGGAGACCCTGCCCCAAGGGTACCCCGTGCCACTGGTTGAGAGACACTGGTCTAGCCACATGATGCCCTGATGATCCTGGCTGTGCCTGTCCTTCCCTTTGTTGTACTCACATGGGGTATGTCTACACTACCCCCCTAGTTCAAACTAGGGTGGGTAATATAGTCATACGGAGTTGCAAATGAAGCTCGGGATTTGAATTTCCCGGGCTTCATTTGCATAAAGCCGGCCGGCGCCATTTTTAAATGCCGGCTAGGTCGGACCCCGTGCCGCACCTTTTAAAAATGGCGCCGGCCGTCTTCATGCAAATGAAGCCCGGGAAATTCAAATCCCGGGCTTCATTTGCAACTCCGTATGACTACATTACCCCCCCAAGTTTGAACTAGGGGGGTAGTGTAGACATACCCATGCAGACTTCCACAGACTATTTAAGCCTTTCCTGCTGCAGGCGGTGCTCCCTTTGCTTAGACCAGGCCATCATTGCTCCAGAGTTGTGTTCTTCATGCAAATGAAGCCCGGGAAATTCAAATCCCGGGCTTCATTTGCAACTCCGTATGACTACATTACCCCCCCAAGTTTGAACTAGGGGGGTAGTGTAGACATACCCATGCAGACTTCCACAGACTATTTAAGCCTTTCCTGCTGCAGGCGGTGCTCCCTTTGCTTAGACCAGGCCATCATTGCTCCAGAGTTGTGTTGCTTCCGTGGTATAATTCTTGCATCTTGCTGCGACCTTTCTTGAAAGTTTTCAGCTCTTTGGATAGGCCATCAGCTGACTGACTGTTTAGGCATACGCTACATAAGAGAGATTATCCTCTGGAAAAAATCATGCTGGGTTTCCTTATTTGTGTCTTGGTGACTCCAGAATACATTTTGCCAGTGTGAAAATTCAAGAGTGGCTTTTTGGTCTGCCTAAGAAGTTTCCCCTGGGATCACCGAGTCAAGCTGGATTCTTTTCTTGATCGTGCATCACCACTATTTAAAAAAAAAAATCTGCTGTCAGAATTTAGCCAACAGTAGAATCCAGCCCTCTGACTGTGCTGTGATTGTGCAGGTCTAATAGGGAGAAAATGAAACAGTCACTTATTTAGGTCAGGACATTGAGCAGATGTGTCTGGATGCATATAAAGGAGATCTACTGAGTGAGGAGATACCGGTTTTAAATAATCACTTTCCAACCATAATCTCACTAATGAATTTTTTTGTCTTCGGATACTCCTAATGTCAACAGCCACTTGTGTTGCAGCAGTCCTTTGGAACAGTGAAACAAATCTACAATTGCTCGTCTGCCTTGGCACGAGCTCTTCCAAGACGCATGTTGCAGACAGCCATTTGCCACTGAAAAAGTTGAACGCTCCTTTTCTGCTGTATCAGGGAGCTGGCTTGGGATGGGGGGAGCTTTTATAGCTAGTGTTTTATGGCTGCCAACATTTGTCTTAACTTACAAGATTTTAACTTCAGAGAACATTAGACAGCCAGTAAATTTTGACTAAACATGTATTTTCCCCAGCTACATTGATACCTGTATCAGTGCTGATCCTGAGGGAAATCCGTGTTCTCAGCCAAGTACATACTCCAGTGGGACTGGGAAGTCAAGGCTGTGGAGTGTAATAGTTATCCCTGGTCTCTGAAGATGTAACACATGCAAAACGGGGAAAGAACTTGGGGTGTGTAGTTTTGTGTGCACCCACTGGAAGTATTGTGCCCCCTAAAAGCTTCATTCAGCAGGTTTTTTTCCATGTAATTAGCTGCACACAGAGAGCTCACACATCAGCCCTCTTGCTCTGTGTGTCCAGAGACCCATCTCAATGTATTCTGCATCTGCTGATCTCCTGGAACATGGGAACTCTATAGTCACTCGCCGGGTAACTACCTGGATGTTTCTGGCTCCTCAGCTGGAAGTTTATCATGGGCTCCAACAACCACAAAATGTGGGCTAAGCAGCATTTACAGTAATTGGTAGCTTCCTCTGGTATCTGCTGTTAGTGGGTTGTTCATTGACATTTGGGGTTAGTGTGTGCTCCTAGAAGGAACATGTAGGCCCTGTCCCCGGTCCTTGAGAGACTTAAATATGTGCCTAATTGTGAGTACATGAGGAGGTGGTGAAACTTCTCTCATGCTTAAAGTTAGGCATGCACAGGCACACCCTTAATTATTGTTAGCATACAGTGTTTCCTGAAAGCTGTGTGCTCATGTAGGCGCTCAGGAGAGAGGCACATGCTGCCCACCTGATTCAAAGACCAGGTTGTTTTTTCTCTTGGGGGTGCACATTCACATATACCTTGGTGCACATAAAATTTATTCCATACATGGATGGAAAAAATGACAGGGTACATTGTTTACATGCTGTGTGTTCTATAAGCCCAGGGCATGACTAGCTGTGATCTGCACTGTGGAGTGACTGTAAAAATACATTGTC